CCACCCCTGGGCAGGTGGGCCTATGTTGCATAAGAAAGCAGGCTGATCAGGGGCCAGGGGAGCAAGCTAGTAAGCAGCGTTCCTCCATGGCCTGTGCTCCGGCTCCTGCCTCCAGGTTCCTGCCCTGAGTTCCTACCTTGGGCTCCCTGATGAACTGTGACCTGGGAGATGTAAGCTGAATAAACCCTTTCCTCCCCAAGTTCGTATTGGTCAGAGTATTTTGTCACAGCAATGAAGAGAACAAACCAGAACACCAGGTTTAGCTGCTTCCTCCTCTCACTGCCCACCAGCAGGTCCTGGTGCTTGGGCAAAACCAGCCTCTCCAGGGTACATTGCATGTATCCCACAGTAGGGCCACCACTCTGGGGTTAACAAGGGCTATCTCTCCCTATCCATCCTCTGGCAGAAATCACCAACCCACCATCTGACGACACCCCAGCCCACAGCAGCGCCACAGGTTTAGCTGCTTCCTCCTCTCACTGCCCACCAGCAGGTCCTGGTGCTTGGGCAAAACCAGCCTCTCCAGGGTACATTGCATGTATCCCACAGTAGGGCCACCACTCTGGGGTTAACAAGGGCTATCTCTCCCTATCCATCCTCTGGCAGAAATCACCAACCCACCATCTGACGACACCCCAGCCCACAGCAGCGCCATCGGGCCCATCATTGGCATCATCCTGTCGCTCTTCGTCATGGGCGGGGTCTACTTTGTCTGCCAGCGTGTGATGTGCCAGCGCTACACGGGGGCCAATGGGCCCTTTCCCCATGAATATGTCAGTGGAACCCCTCATGTACCTCTCAACTTCATTGCTCCAGGCGGCTCGCAGCATGGTCCCTTCCCAGGTAAGGAGCTGAAACGTGTCCTGGTTGAGTTGTCTAGGCTGGGCACGGAGGGACACGGCAGGCACTGCTAGTTGGCATACCCACAAAGACGCAGGCTGTGTTTGCAGGTGCCCAAGGCCCACTGCCCCATGCCCTGTCAGTAGCGGGGATGTGCCCACTCTGTGCCTTGTGAGGGTTGACTGTGCCCTTTCACTCCAGGGCCACCATGGAGACTGTCCAGGGCCTACCCAGCCCTGGCTTCCTCTCTCTTGGCCTGTTCCTTCTCCCCCCTAAGCCAGCCTCATTAGAACTGTGCTATCTGGGGTCCAATGTGACCTGATTTTTCTGGGACTTTGAAACACGGGTCTTGTAGGACTTACCCACCTGAATGGAATTTCCTGAGCGTCAGGAGCCGAGGCAGGGTTTGTGTTCTGGGATGGCCAAGCTGAGCTGCCCACCCTGACCTGTCTCACTTCTCCCCGACAGGCATCTCTTGCAGCAAGTCAATGATGAGCTCCATGAACCTGGTTGGGGGCCGGGGCGGCGTGCCCCTCTATGACCGGAACCACGTCACCGGGGCCTCGTCCAGCAGCTCATCCAGCACAAAAGCCACGCTGTATCCACCGGTGAGTGGCAGGGCTGGTGGGGGGTCCTCCATTAGTGACCCTGGGGGGTGCTTTCTGGGATGATAGGATCTCCAGAGCTAGTAACTCTTCCAGCACCTCAGAGAACAGCGATGTGTGATTCCCTCCCTCCCTGAACCTTTACGTTTGTTCACTAGTGGCATTGTTTTATATGTGGCCATTGTAGTAATCTGCAGACTACATAGACATATACAGAGGCAGGGTGTGGCTCAGTTGGTAGAATGCTTGCTTAGCATGTGGGAAGCCCCTAGTTCAATTTCCATTTCCACACAGACTGGGTACAGTGGCACATGCCTGGAGAGATACGTACACATAAAAGTCAAAAACAGGCTGGAGAGATGACTCAGCAGTTAAGAGCACTGACTACTCTTGCAGAGGACCCGGGTTCGATTCCCAGCACCTACGTGGCAGCTACGAACCGTTCCTAACTTCAGTTCCAGGGGAATCTGAAGCCCTCTTCTGACCTCCGCTGCACTGCCCATGACACGGGTGCACTCACATACATGCAGGCAATATACTCATACACATAAAAATAATTAAAAATTTTTCTTTTAATAAAATAAAAGTAAAAAATAAACCTTGAAGTTAATGGTTGATATAAACTCATATAATCATAACAATATACTCTAGTAAGTTATGCAAATGTAAGAGTCAAGATAGGGTTGATAAGATGCCTCAGTGATGCCAGGCACGATGGTGCACACCTTTTATCCCAGCAGAGGCAGGCAAATCTGTGAGTTCGAGGCCAGCTGGGGCTACGGGGAAACCCTATCTCAAAAAGACCAAAGAAAAAGTGCTTGCTGCCGAGAGTCTGATGACCTGAGTTAAATCCCTGGAACCCCATGGTAGAAGGAAAGGACCAACTCTTGAAAGTTATCCTCTGACCTTCACGTGCTGTGGCACAGATGCACATGTGTACATACACACACTAAATAAATGTAATAAAAATTTCTTTTGAAAAAGAGTCAAGACAGATATTAGTGTTTGCAGACTGTGGTACTAAGCCAGAGAACGCGGAGCCACAGTGCGGGAGAACTGCCATACCTGGAGACCCTGGGTCTCTGTGAACGCTTTACTTCCCCCCAAAGCCACTTCTTTCTACTTACACTAACATGGTGACAGCCCATTGAAGTTCTTCTGGGGTTCCTCAGGGAGCCCTTCCATGCTAGGGCTCACCCCTCGTTTCTGGGTGGCCCTTGTGTGTTGCCTCTCCTTATCACAGCTTGCAGGCCCTGGGTGGAGGGAGCGAAGGAGGGTGTTATCTCTGAGTTGCAGAGCAGGAACTGAGTTTCTGGAAGCCCCAGAGCCTATTTTTAGGGGCCTACAGCTGGGCTTTGGAACACCCCCCCCCATTCTTCTCTCTGAAGCCCCACATAACCATCAAAGGGTGCAGGACCCCCATCTGAGGCTGGGCCTACTCCAGGAAGCAGCTCCCTTTACCCTATTTACTTACATGCACAGGGCTTAGGAAAGCTGTCCTTTCCCTCCTGGGCTCTGCTAGGAGCGGGTCCTAGGCTGCAGAGACAGCATGGAGCAGCCGGCCTGGAGCCAGAGCCCTTAGCATGTGGCTGAGTTTAGAAATTCCCAGATGTATGCTGCCCTCCTGCATAGTGGCTTCCAGAGGGCATGGTTTGGAACCAGCTTCTTTGAAATTAGCTAACTTAGTTTGCGTCCTAATGCATGCTCACGATACAGAAGAATGTATAGGCAAAGGGGCCCCTGTGTCAAACAGGGCTTCCCCAGAGACATGTCCTATGGCAAGTGTTTTTCATTACTGTGACTATTTTGAGACAGGATCTTGCTGTTCAGTCCAGCGTGGACTTGAACTCATGATCTGCCCACCCCAGTCTCCCAAGTGCTGAGATTCCAAGCATTCACCACCATGGCTAGCTTTGCGTGGTAGGCTTCTTACGAATTTTCCAAGTGGTAATTTGTGTGTATGTAAGGTGTGGACTTATTTTCTCTATTAATAGGATAGGGTTTTTTTCCCCTCCCCCAACTTCTTGAGATCATTGTAGATTTGTTCACTGAGTTGCTGAGACAGTTTTAGTTGGGAATTGGGGCTCATGCCTATAATCCCATCACACAAGAGGCTGAGTTAGAAGGATTACCATGTGTATTAGGCCAACCTGGGCTAAGTAGTGAGACCCTATAGTAAGGAGTTGTTGAGATGACTTAGTGTTAGGTAAAGGCCCCTGCTGCGCAGTCTGACAGAGTTCAGTCCCTTAGACCTACGTAGTGGAAGGAGAGAACTGACTCCCAAAAACCATCCTCTGACCGCCACACCTGTGCTGTGGCACATGCACGCACGCGCGCGCGCGCGCACACACACACACACACACACACACACACAATATAAATGTAATATTATTTAAGTAGGGGCTGGAGAGATGGCTCAGCAGTTGAGAGCACTGGCTGGTCTTGCATAGGACCCGGGTTCCAATCCCAGCACCCACGTGGCGGCTAATAGCCATCCATAGCTCCAGTTTCAGGGGATCCAACGCCCTCGTATGTCCTTCTCAGGCATTGCACAACATGGGTGCACTTGCATACATGCACACAGTACACACAGAATAAAAAGAAAAAAGAATTTAAAGTGAAATAGCCCATGAAGAGGCCTCTCTAAGCCGGGCCTTTTCCTGGTAGCAAGCTCGTGAGCACCCGAGGCTCTGAGGCTCTGCTCCGCTGTGTGCAGGGTGCATGCGTCACATTAGCCTGTCCCCAGGAGGGGGTGCTGTTGCCCTCTCCGCTTTGCACATGAGGGGAGGAGCTGATGCTAGCCACAGCCTGGCTCGTTCTTCAGTAAGGGCCCTGTTTCTTCTGTACCCAATGTTTCTTCTCTGTCACAGGCCATGCTGTCCCAGTGTTAGTGCCCAGTTCTAGCATCTGACCCCATGCCTGCTGCAATGGTCCTTTAGACCTCTGTTGCTAAGCCATCTCTATGAGGGACAGTTCAACTTTCTGCCAGCAGAGGGCCACACTTGGAAGACTGTTCTGCCACACTGTCCACTAGTCTGGTGCAGGAGGAAAACGGTGTGCTGGTTACTTCTGTGTCACTGTGACAAAATGTCCCAGACCAACAAAAGGAGGAGGGCTTTATTTTGGCTCATGGCGTTAGAGGGGTCAGCTCACACCATGGCAGTAGGAGCATATGCAGAAGAGCTTCGTGAATTAGGGAGCAGAGAGGAAGGGACCAGGGCGAGGCATACCCCAGTGACCATACCCTCCAACTGGTCCCACTTCCACCTTTTACCACCTCTAATGCCATCAACAGACCAATCCACTAATTAGCTTGGTTCGCTCAAGACCCGATCATCACAGACACACCCAGGAGGCCTGCCACTAATCCCCAGCAGGCACGTTCTCCTAGTGGGTTTGTTTCCTTGCTATTATGGTCTTGGTTGAGTGGCAGTATGGGGCTCCTTGAGAAAGAGGTGAGCCCGTGGCCTGTCCCTCAGCATCTGACCCCTGTGTATTGGTCAGAGCTCCAGCAGGGACGCAGGGCCTAGTAAAAGATCCTGGGTGGATACTCTACTGCAAGTCAGCGCGGGCAGGATGAAGTCCCTGGGGAACCTGGAGAGGTGCTCACGGGGACAGGTAGTCACACTGGGTCTGAAGAGGCATCTGCTGTGGTCAGCTCTGAAGGGACTGGTGCAGGAGTCCAGGGGTCTTGCTGACATCAGTGTTCATGACGTCAGTGTTCATGGCTGAGCATCTGGCCATAGGCCTGGGAGCTGCTGCTGGCCAGCAGAGCAGTGCTTGGGAATGAGAAGAAGAACACTGGGCTGAAAGCACTTCTGTCCCCCATGCCTCTGACCACCATCACCTCAGGGCAGACAGCTGCTGCCTCCCCTGTGCTTTCTGAGTCTCGTCAATTCTGGAGGGCTTCTGGGGACCATGAGCTGAGGACAGAGCCCCAAACCTCAGGCTGAAGGAATGGTCCATCCCATGGAAGCCCGAAGTAACCCCTGCTCGCTCTCCTCAGATCCTGAACCCACCGCCATCCCCTGCCACAGATCCCTCCCTGTACAACATGGACATGTTCTATTCTTCAAACATTCCGGCCACCACCAGACCGTACAGGTAGGAGTCTCTCCCCACCTTCCACATATGGGAAAGGAGGGTCATGTCCCATGGAGTCTAACCTGCTTTCTTCGGCTCTTCAGGCCCACCGAGTCCAGTGTGACTAAGTGTTAAGTTCAGACACCAAGTGAGCCCTGGAGACTACATTCTTACTGAGTTTCTCTGACAGTTGGGACACTGCCCTGGATCATGGGCCTTGAAGGATTCCAGTAGAGTGATCACACCCCATTGTGTCCCGCTGTGGGAAAGCCAGTTCTCAAGGCCCAGGGCTCAGGCTCCCAGGCCCTGCTACATCCCAACCCATCTGTGGACCCTGACCACCATGGTACCAGGTCCTCAGAAGGATCAAATGTGTGTTTAGAGGCAGGTATGGTGCTGGCCCTGGCCAGGGCCTGGCACATGTGACCCCTGTTAGGACAACCCTTGGTCCTTACTATAATGGCCTCTTTGAGCCTGGGAACCCCACAGACCTGCTCAGCCTGATCCTGCCCCCAAGTTGCCTATATTGGCATCTAAGACCCAGTTCCCTGAATGGGTCTGGTGTAGGAGAATACAGAGGGGAGGTAGGACCTGGGGTTGCTGATATGTGCAGTAGCCAGTCAGAGCATGGGTGGATGGGGTGGGCTACCCTCTAGCTACTCTGGGCCTCAGCCTCAGGGGAGCTACCTGACAGGGCAGGGAGGGTGGGCTCAGGACCATCCAGCGTGTAGACCAGGGCTCTGGCACCTGTCTGGACCACACAGCCTCAGTGCTTGGGCCCCCAGCCAGCAATGCCTTCTAGGGTGGCACTGCCTGCTATCTGCTGGCTATTTCTGGGAACTTTTGGACTGCCTGTCTCCCAAGCCTGGTGGAGCTGTACTCTCTAGTGGCCTACCTCTGTTTCCATCCCACCTTCACATTGGGTCACCTTGCTACTCAAGGATCTGCAGTGGCTCCCTAGTGCCACAGTATAACATGTAGCCTGCACTGCCGACCTGGAGGTGTTATTGTCACAGCATCCCTGTCTGCCATGGTCCCCAAACTAGAAATAGCCATGCCCGGGAAGCCAGTCCTCCCAGTCTTCCTCCTGCCTTCTGCCTTCCCTTGCGGAGGCTGGGTCCTCCCAGTCTCCCTTCTGCCTTCTGCATTCCCTTGCGGAGGCTCAGTCCTCCCAGTCTCCCTCCTGCCTTCTGCCTTCCCTTGCAGAGGCTCAGTCCTCCCAGTCTCCCTCCTGCCTTCTGCCTTCCCTTGCGGAGGCTGGGTCCCAGGGGGCGTGTGTTGCTGCTGTACCAGCTTCACGTCCCTGCTCACTATGACTCCAGCATGGTGAGCCCAGGGCTCTGAAGCAAACCATGATCCTCACCTGGAGTTCAGGCCACAGGGTCTGACATAGTATTTCTGGAACATGACTGAATGCAGGACTGGGAGGCCAGAGACATTGCCAAGCTCAGGGTGCTTTAACCCAAGACAAGACCATTCCAGGAGACACATCCCCAACAGTCACGGCAAAACATGGTCAATAGCTGTTAAGCAGTTAGGCATTGACTGCATCTAGTGTGTTCTACATAGAATCTTACTTCATCCTGACAAATCTCTTAAGGGGTGCGGGGAGGGATGGCTTAGTCAGTAAAGTGCTTGTCATGCAAGGAGGAGGAGGACCACAGTTTGTTTGTTTGTTTGTTTGTTTGTTTGTTTGTTTTAAGACAGGGTTTCCCTGTAGCCCCAGCTGTCCTGAAACTCACTACATAGACCAGGCTGGCCTTGAACTCACAGAGATCTGCCTGCCTCTGCCTCTCAAGTCCAACTAAAGGCGTGTGCCACCACACCTGGCTTTAATAGAGTATTTTAAAAGGTAGAGTGATTGAGGAAGACACTTGCCATTGACCTCTGATCTCCACACACGTGTACACACATGTGTGTACACTCACATAAATACACAGTACCCACCAAAAGGTGGAGCAGAGTGTTTGGGAAGAGTATGAGTGTGTACTCCCAAGGTCACAGGCAGGCTGTACTGAGGTCGCTATGGCAGTGGAGCTCTAGTTCTTGGCTAGGTCCTTGCTCTAGTGGGGGGGGGAGGGAGGGG